GCGAGCGAAGCTTCATCTGTATTTACAGCCACTCCCCATCACTCGCATTACCACCTGAGCTCCGCCTCCTGTTAGATCAGCAGTGGCATTAGATTCTCATAAGGAGTGTGCAACCTAGATCCCTCGCATGCGCAGTTCACAGTAGGGTTCACGCTCCTATGAGAATCTAATGCCACTGCTGATCTAACAGGAGGCGGAGCTCAGGTGGTAATGCGAGTGATGGGGAGTGGCTGTAAATACAGATGAAGCTTCGCTCGCTCATCCGCTGCTCACCTCCTGCTGTGCGGCCCGGTTCCTAACAGGCCACGGACCGGGACCGGTCCATGGCCCGGGGGCTGGGGACCCCTGTCTTAAAGCTAAAGTGTTGACCACTTGAATGGCAGCTCACATCAGACACAGCTATGCCTGCCTCCAGGCACGTTGGGATAGCTGTGTTCCTTCTTGTGATCCTCCCTTCTGGGATGTGAATGTAATTGGGCTCAAGGGACAAACTCTGAATGAGATTCATGCTCAATATCTCTATCCAGAGCCCTGGTCTGGCTAAGGGAGACGTCCTAAACCTGTTTGAATGTGAAGTCTTAATCTCTTATGGGAGATGAGGGGTTTCTTTCGATTTACTAAAGCAGCCTTCCATAGCCATTTTCCAGGTATGTTAGGCTGATAAGGCAACATAACTTTTAGTAGCTGCACTTCCTAATGTGAATCTAGAAACCTCTAAAAGCCCATTAGTTTTACCTTTTATTCTATGCTGAAACTGCATTTTAGTTCACTTCATCTCCTGGAGATTGAGTATGAATACATGGGACTTCTCGGTGGCAAATTGTACGTACTGCTAAATATATGACATTACAAGAAGAGGCAGAGCTAGATATACAGCTGGCAGGGGCCTCACTGCAGGGGAAAATGCTACACTTAGGTAGCATTTCCAGGGTAAACTACGTGATCTCAGCAGTAAACTGCAATGATGCCTTTATGACACAACACAGACACACAGTGATGTGCGTTATATAAATGCTCTGATGATGGGTGAGCATTCCATCATCTGATGCACATATGTCAGTCATCTCATTTGCCTGATGACATAATCACACATGCTTTGTCATTTGCCCACTCTACTCTTCCTGCAGACGCTCGTGGGTTGGCTAGAGCCTTCACCAGGTAAAGCAACTGAGTCAGATGGGTCCCCCCCACTTAAGCTTTATTGCTCTCCTGAAAAGTGACCGTCTTGTTCCACTGGGCCCTAAATTAACATTCCAGCAGAACAGTAGTCACTTACAAGAGCCTATCGAATGATAGTTACTTGGCTTGCTAGATACTACAGCTCTTACTGATAAGCTGAATATGAAATCTTCATTGTAAAATAATTGTATATTTCAGTGAAGGAATATTCTCCACTGTCATGTTTGCTTATGAGATTTATATTTGATTTTTTTTCTGAATACGTGTACAGAGAGCGAGTGAGCAAGAGATGTTAAAAAATGTATGAAATAGATTTCTGGCAAGGCTGAGTGAAGGGCTGATTGTTAGTCTTATACATACTGTAAAAAGAAAAACAAAAGTTACCTGAAATGGCACACTATAACATCATTTCTCAATGCAGAAAGATCACCTACAGGAGTTTGCTCAAGTTAGTGAGATGCCTAACTCATGGATTTGCTGAAGGATATAAAAACAACAACATTTCTTTTGAAAAAGCCCATAGTGATTTATTTTGTGAATCTTTTTCTTCTTCAATGTAAACTTTGTTAATTTTTTAAATATTTTTTTATCCCGCCCTTATTAATTTGTATAAACAACTCAAGGCTGTGAACATACCTAATCCTCCTCCTTCCTCCTATTTTGCCCACAACAACAACCCTGTGAGGTGAGCTGGGCTGAGAGAGAGGGACTGGCCCAGAGTCACCCAGCCAGCTTTCCTGCCAAAGGGAGGTCTGGAACTCACACGCTCTGCTTTCTAGCTTGGTACCTTCACCACTAGACCAAACTGGCTCTCAAGTTTGGTTTACATTAGAAAAGTTATCAAAGAGTCTACATTCAGTCTCTTCCTAATTTGCAAGGGTATTTGTATTTAAAAGACCAGAAAATATTCCAAGACTTATGAACACTTGCCATTTTTTACTTTATTTTCTTTGTCTATTTGTTTTCCACATCTTATAGCCCTTGTCTCTTGAAACAGTCATCTGGCTGATGTCTTTATGTGTAACTTTCCCTGTGGTTCCTAATTACAGGAAACCCTTAAAGCACAGCAAGGTTCAAAGCAGCAACGCTCATTGTGTCCTCACATCATCAGTGCTTGGTTAGATGTTTGGCTCATAAGCTAAAAACAAGAACAATCTGACCCTACCTCTAGAGAAGTTTGCATATCCCTCTGATATCCAAACTTCTACAGCCAGAGGCCACATTCGCATACTGTACTTTGCAAAGCTGTGGCTTGTTTCAATATGGTGGTTTGATGAATAAGCTGCTGTTTGGGTTTACACAACAGAATGGCATGTGATGACTTAGCATACTAGATCAGCCAACTACAGAAAACTGGAAAGAAATTGTAGTCAAAAGCCCAGTGATATTATTGCTGAGTGCCCGTGCCCATAGCCCGTGTTCCCCTCCCCGCCATGACTAGTTTTATCTATGAATTGGGGGGGGGGGG